GGTCCGATGGCAATTTTGTATATATTTTAATTGTATTTTAATTGCTACATAACTTTATTGTATTTTAAATGCTGTAAGCCGCCCAGAGACCTTTGGGTAGTGTGGGCGGCATATAAATTAAATAAATAAATAAATAAAGTGATAGAATGTGTGAATAAATGTAGTGTTCCACACTTGGCAATGCCTTAAGAACCCTTGACTGAGATTCAGTCCTTTTAAGTAGGTCTCCAGCATCAGGATATACCTTCTCAGCCCTTTCTCTTGATTCCGCCCCCCCCCCCTGAACAGTGACTTGCAAGTCATTCAAAGAGTTTTCAGGTAGATTAAAATGTTCTGAAACAGGGTTTTGTGTTTTTTTTAATTGAGATTCCTGATGTCAGATTTAGATCTGTTGATTCTTTTGCACAGAGAGTGCCCTGTTTGTCCTATGTCAAAGTGCAGAAGGGCATTGTTGGCAAAGGATGGCATAGATCACTGGTTCTTAACCTTGGGTTACTCAGGAGTTTTGGACTGCAACTCCCACCAACTGCCTTCACCACCAACTGTGCTGGCTGGGGTTTCTGGGAGTTGCAGTTCAAAAACATCCGAGTAACAAAGGTTAAGAACCACTGGCATAGATCACACATTAGCAGAGGAACAAGTGAACTAATGATGTGTGTGTCATTGTTGGAGGTCTGTAATTGTGTTGCTAAAGTAGATGTAAGGACAGAGCTGGCATCTGGGTTTGCAACAGAATTTAGTTCCCATCTCTGTGTCAGTGTCACAGTTGTTCCTCAAGGTGGGCGGGGAGGGTGTTTGTCTGCAAGGAAGAATAGTACTGTCACCAAAAACATTAGGAAAGTGAAGAGAAGGGGACGTATTTACATATGTGGTGGCTATGTGAAAAAAGAAAGAAAGAATGGAAAGTAATATTTAAAGAAATATCTGAAATAATTGGATTGAATATTCCAATGTCCCCAACAACAGCTTTATTGAATATGAGTAAAGATCAATTGGCGAATGAAAATAAGGATTTAATAGTAATAATGATTACGGCAGCAAGGATAATTATGGCAAGGAATTGGAGAAATGAAAATCAATTTAACCTGGAGGAATGGTATAGAGAATTGTGGGACATGGCAATTAATGATAAACTGACATGTGATATGAAAATAAGTAGGGGCCAAACGAAAAATAATGACTTTAAGAAAATATGGAATGTATTTTTAGAACATGTATTTTGGAGAGGGAGGGGGTTTACACCGAGTGAAGAAACAATGAAATTTTGGAAGGAAAATGGATGGAATGAAGTGTAATGCTAGTCCTGAGGGTGATGGGTGCACTGTTTTGTTTTGTATTTTATAGTTTTTCTTTTCTGTAGTAGAAGGTGTATTTTGTATTTTTTTTATTAAAATAATTTAAAAAAAATAAAAATAAAAAAAGTGAAGTGTTCTTGTCAAAGATGGTTTGGAGATGATTTATGATGCACGTGAGTGGTCTCAGTTAAGGGTTGGAGGTGACAACTAGCAGCGTTCTGTCATTTTCTCTTTTGGATCTGTCTTGAAGTAGGTTGCTTCTGGGTGTTCATCTTGCCCAGTTAATTTGTTCTTTAATTGTACTGGATGTGCATTTTGCTCTGAGAAATTCTGTTTGTACATCCTTGAGTTTGGAGTCCTTACCTTGTGGGTCCGAGCAGATGTGATTATATCTAAGGGCTTGGCAGTAGACAGTAGATTTTGTAATGGAATCTGGAAGTGTGGAAGACATTGGCCTGAGAGACTGAAGTGTTTCCCCACCAGTTTTCAAACACTGCAATTGCTGACATCAGATTTGTGTTCAATTACTGTACTTACAGTATGTAGGGATTGCCCTGCTCACACTAAAAAGGGTAACATTTCTATCAGATTTCCATTCTGGTGTTCAGAAACTGGCTTTGGTGACTGACTTCAAGAGCCAAGCTGTCATTTGAGATATAGATTAGCAAATAACTTTGAAAAACCAAGGTAACCCTTGCCTGTGCAAAATGCAGAAGCATATTGCTGAGAAATTGTGATATATATTACATAGGTAGATGAGCAAGGTCATGATGACCTTGCTCGAATTCGCCCCCTGCCCACAGTAAGGTCTCTTACAAAAATATAGCAACTGAATGCCATCATAGGAATAACACTTCACTTCCTGCATTTGTGACCAAAGTTTCAAGTGTGCAAGATTTATTTGCATTTGCTTCTCATTAATGATACCAGCAAGATCACAGTTTTTTTTTCCACTTTAAAAAAGCTAAAAGGTTATAACCCAAATAATGCCTGCCCTAGAAGGGAATGGTGAACTACTTCTGTGTTTTCTCTGCCTAGAAAACCCTGGAAAGGGTTGCCATAAATCACAATTGACTGGACAGCATGCAGTTAATTATTATGTTTTGATCCCAGCTGAAAAATTACTGTCTCCCTTCTAAAAACAGATTGGAGGCTTCGCTGCCTGAAGAGCTGCATCTACCAAGTCATGATATAGATAAATTTGGGTGTATCCCATGTTTTTGCATGGAGTTTGCTTATTTGGGATAAAAATTATAAGCTGTCAGAAATCCCACACAGGCGTCTTTCTGGGGAGTGGTTATACAATTAGTTGTAAATCATCTTGGATATTTCTGAGTTCTAATATTTCCTCCTCTTCTTCAGAAGATGTTTCCCCAGAGGACAAGACCACCTCTCCTTGGGGATGTTCTGTGTAGTATAACCAAAGGGCATGTCTTCACGGCAGACACCAGTCTTAAGTGCCATGAAATTTTCAGTAAGAATTATCTAAAGTTAATCTGACCACTTTCCTTCCTGTTCATGGCAAAGGTCAGGCTGTTTGGGGATCATTCTTAGGATAGCATGGTAATAAGAGAAGATAAAAAGTCTGGGTTAAAAATAACTCACTAGTGGGTAAAACTGAAACAGTAACTAGACACACAGGGCTGTAAGAGGAATTAAACATAAGGAAAATAATAAAGAAAACAAAAATTGGATTAAATGACTGCATAAAGGAAAAACCTGTAAATACATAGGCATATGATTAAAAGGGAATAACTGAGAAAGTGAAGGTATTTAATAAAGTGTTTAATAAGAGGTTATCTCTAAACAGGACCACAGAAGCTGTAAAGTAGTAAAAAAAATCTGGTGAGATGGGGAATTGAAGAAAGAATGAAATGATATCCGATGCAAGATCAAAAGTAATAAAGTCTTTTTTTAAAAATAGGAGATGTAATATTCAGTAAAAATCAAAAACTAGTAAAGAAATGTAAGTGAAGCCTTTTTGCATAATACGGTCTGTTTTAAACTTCCTCTACCCACCTGCTTCAAAGAAATTAGTCTATTCTAATAGCGCTTTACTACCCACAAATACAGTATTTTAATTCTGAAAGTTATTCATAGCTACCTGCATCGGGTTGGTCTGGTGGTTCATTCTCTTATTTGTCCTACAGAAAGAGGGAAACTAGTACTTCTGATTTCTCCTGGCCTTTTATATGGATCAAAGACAGGATCATATTTAGGTAGACTGTGAATCCTAGTTTTCTGGGAAGAAAGCATGGTTGGTATTTATGTATGATTTTCAGTATTCCCCATTTCTCCTTCTCATAGTCGAACAAAGTCAGTCCTCTCTAATAAGTGCCAAGGTCTCTCACAAAGGTGGTCCTTTTTTCACCGCAAAGGTCATTACAGAGCCCAACTTTTAGGCTACCTATCTCGGTTAGTCACGGATGTTTAAGGATCTGTAGAGTCAAGCGGTGCTTTGGACTGAGCAAGGCCGAGTTAAAAAGCAGCACTCTTTTCACGTTGAAAAAAATGGGTGTAGGACATCAGAACAGGCCTCTCGGCCCTTTTGATTTCAGGAGAAGGCCCCAGGCTTTGAATTGCAGTGCCAGTCATTGGAAAGGCAGTGGCTCAGCCAGTAGGGCAACAGCCCATGGCCCTTCAGGAGTCAACAGGTGGCTGAAGCAAAGAGTGGGGCGCACGCTCACAGATCCAGCACAACTGAAACCAAACAGTCACCCCACTGTGCTACCGATGACTCCAGGATTTTTTACCTAGTTTGGAAAGAGCTTTCACAGATCTGTGTGTAGGGCAGAGTTATTGAAATCGGCTCACTTGGTAGAGAACGATCTCAAAGACGACTAGGAAAAAAAAAATAGGGTATCCTAGTTACAAAAGAGCAGCTTCTAGAGTAAGGAGAGAAAGCCTTTGGCTGTCTGGATGCTGCTGGACTACATCTTCTGCCCTCGCTCTGACATCAGCTGGTGGAGTTGATTCAAACCGGGCTCCAAACTCTGGAGGACTACTGTCCCAATCGTTGTTTTAAAAGAGAGTGGTGGTAGAAGCTGTGCTGTCACAGGACTGGCTTTCCGTTGTCTACATCAGTGGTCCTCAAACTTGGGCCTCCAGATGTTCTTGGACTTCAACTCCCAGAAATCCTGGCCATCAGTGGTTGTGGTGAAGGCTTCTGGGAGTTGTAGTATAAGAACATATGGAGGCCCACGGTTGGGGACCACTGGTCTACATTGTAGTCTTGCCATACAAACGGATAATACTTCCAAGGACCTTCTTTTTCATTGGTGTGCCTGCTTGCTTTAATACCTTTCGGAGGGACCTGTTCTGTCTTCCATCTGTGGCTGTGGTTTAATTGGTCAGGGCAAGAGAGAAGACCCTTCTCAGTGTTACAGTAAAATGGTGCAGTGACACAGCATGAAAGAGCGGCATGGCATCCTCTCTCACTCTGTCTTGATTTGTGTTTTCTTTTTCGATCTAGTGTGCTCGTGCTGGCTAGATATTTTGGTGTGCTAGACTCTAATTTTAGAACAGGTTGTCTGCTGAGGCAGTTCCTATTTCAGTGCTTCTTAAATAGGATTAATTGGATAACGCAAATGTATTGAAAGGATGAGATATATGTTTTCTAAATGAATATATGTACTGTACTGTACTTCTAAAAAAGTCATGCTACCAGTGGTTGAAAATATGGTTTCGATAAACTCATTGTGAGGATAAATGTTGCTTTGATTACAGGTGATAAAAAATGGCTGAAAATGGAGACAGTGAAAATATGTCTGATTTGGAAAAGAAGATCTGTCAGCAGATTGAGGTACGACGACTCTTGGAATGCACAGGATTAATGTACAGTGCTGAGGCCAGCTTTCTCCAATTTACTGCCTTCCAGATGTGTTAAGACTATAATCCCCTGTTGTCTGGATTATGAAATTTGTAATCTAATATATCTAGAGGATAATGATTTTGGGAAGACTATAAATCTGATGGTTACATTTTTTTTAATATTTACAACTGGGATTCCTTCATGCTGGCACATCTCAATTGGTGTGAGATTCTATTTACTAGCTGATAAGGTTATTTTCAAAGTGGATTGTTTTTTTTTTTCTCTCTGTAATCAGAAAGCAGATGTGTCCTTGCTGAAGGGATCTTTCTATAAACAGAGTGAAAACATTTAATAGAACATCATTAAGTAGTGTTGGAAAATTACTTTGTTAGACATTAAAAATGTTCAACAAACATTTAGGGATTTTTTTACTAGGGGTACAAGATGCACTTCAAATCAGTGCAGGTACATTTCCAATAAATTGTTTTATAATGATTGCAGTGGTATGTGAGGGAAATTATAAAGCATTTGCCAGTCATCGTTTTGCTTCTAATATCTGTTATTCTAACTTGTGTTATAGTACTATTTTGGCGATCACAACTTACCACAAGACAAGTTTCTTCAGGAGAAGATCAAATTGGATGATGGATGGGTAACTTTAGAAACAATAATCAAATTCAACAGGTAAATCTATGGATGCTTGTGCAGTTTCATAGGAGTGGAAATGACAGCTTGTTCAGTGTTACAGTATATCTGTGTTCTAACATACTTGTGTGGAATCAGCACCCCCAAAAGGGTTGACTTCACTCAAGGTTATAATTATTTACTGACCAAGCATGCATACTTATTGGTAGCTATAATGACTAAAACCTGTTTGTCTATATTTTGTCCTTCTATACTAGCCAGTATAGAAGGGTTCCCCAGTGTGATGCAGTGGGTGGAGTGATGGACTAAATCCCTCTGGAATTTTTATTTTTTGCAGGGGCGCTCATTTTTGAGGGAATGGGTCACAAAGGGCTACTGGGGGGAAGGAGATCTGCTCAATTGAGGATAGGCTGTTGGCTGCAGAAAAAAGGAGGAGTCAGGACACTTTGGTTCTGCAGATTTATTTAAATTGATTTAACTGGTGATCCAAGCCATTGTTTCATGGATCATGACTTCAGCTTTAAGAAACGGAGACGACTTCACATGATATATTTGTATTGCGTTCTATCAGTACTTTAAATCAGTTATGTTTGGGGGGGGGCAATGTAATATAACTGATTTAAACAACAAATAATCTCTTTCATCCTATCTTTTGTAGGTTAAATCGTCTTACAACAGACTTTGATGTAATAGTGGGGGCATTAAAAAAATCAAAGAGTGAGCTTATGGAAGTTAGCGAGGACAAGACTAAAATCCGAAGATCTCCAAGCAAACCATTACCTGAAATAACGGAACAATATAAGAATGCAGTTAAAAGCAGATCTGTGTATATTGTAAGTGAAAAATAAGATATTCTAATACGGTGGGTTTCAGATATTTATCTACAGGAAGCCTTGTACTGCATGAAAGTTTCATGTGTCAAGACCCCTTGCATTTTGCAAGCGATCCTGCATAGCATACGTTGGTACATGTGAAGCCAGGTATCTTGGATATCCTGGTTGCTCCTTGTGGAGAGAAGCTGCCTTCCATCAAAGACCCCTAGTAGGCTTTCAGGAAACCCAGTGTTCTCAAGAACAAAGAATGAAAATTATTCTCATAATGCCATATCTTGTCATTTGGAAATTGAAATTTTAATAATTGACAGTGAGTAATATATAAAAAAATGCAAATTGCACAACTTTGCCACTGTGCATATTAGCCTATATTTGCTAATTTTGCTTATGAGTTTTTGGTACCCATTCATTGTTCAGGAACTCTGAAGATGCATCCTTGGTAACAGGGGTAGTAACTACTCCAGCTACCTTACGTTGTTCAGTAGTTGGTCATGGTAGGTCCCAGAATCATCAATAGATTTCTTGAGGTTTTGTGGCCATGGTGTGGGGCATGTGTTTGGGTGAGTAAAACAGGAAACTAAATATGGGAATTATCTAAATTCTTGTTTTTTTCCAGAAAGGGTTCCCACTAGATGCAACCTTAGATGATATCAAAGAGTGGATGGACTCTAAAGGCAAAGTAGAAAGCATTCAGATGAGGAGAACACTTCAGAAAACTTTTAAGGTAACTCCTTGAAGCCAAACGTCTTCAGCTTTAAATTTTTTGATAAAACCGATCCACTGGTCTAATAAAAGCCTCTTTTTTCTTTTCCCAGGGATCAGTATTTGCAGTATTTGATAGTGTCGAAACGGCCAAGGCATTTGTTGAGACTCCAAACCAAAAGTACAGTGACACAGAACTACTTGTGCTGTTCAGGTAAATGGGACTTCAGTGATATATTTCATGTGGTCATGCCTGACCGGAATTTCAGGGGAGATTTTGAATCTAGAAACAATTCTCTAGTCATTTGATACAACAAACTTCTGTATGTCACTGAAGTTCTTTGCTTTTCCCCCCCATATGTTTTGTTTTCTTGCCACACATCTCTTTTTCACTTTTTGCAGGGGGGAGGCAGGTTATGTTTCCATGGTTACATTAATAATGAATTTTAAAAGTTGCAGTTATACAGTTAGATGATCAGTTATGTGGAATATATCAGTAAAATTTCAGTAAGGTAGATGAACCCGAGCAGTAAGTCACAGGCAGAATTTATAAAAACACCATCAGTGAGATCAGGATAGAAAATGTTGGCAGAAGGACAGAAAAGATAATTCCAAAATAGCTTTCTAAGGAGAGTTGGAAGTCTGGAAAGACACAGGCTGGCCATATATGTGGTGCTTACATTCAATCTATAAAGGAAAGAAAGAGATATATCATCTGTAATACAGAACTTGTCATTTGTTGTTTGCTCCATGGAAGACAGGTCTGTTGGATGAGGTTTTTGGATAAGGCGATGCCCTAGACTCCTCCTTATCATGAATATATAGAACTTACTCTACCTGATTCCCAGCGTGCAGCTGTTTTCTGTTTGGCTGCAACCAGCAGGACCAAGGTTAACTCTGTATCCTATGGACCCTTTCTTATTGACTCACTCTTAGAAGCAAAAACTGCTTTTGTCCTGGCAAAAGAGCCATCAGACTGCAGTGGACTTTGCTTGTGTGTTTCTTGGCAGAAAGGGGGGGGGTGTCTTTCAGATGCGCCTCTGTTCAGACCATTGCACCAAATAACAAAAAATTGGTCTGGTGTTATTTGTCTGCTCCCCTTTGGTACCAGTCATGGTAAGAATCCTTGTATAGAAGCAAGTATTTCCAGTCCAAGGAGTGGGTGGTTCAGCACTGTGGAAGGGAGAGGCTAATCATTTATTTTATTTATTTATTTATTTGATTTTTACCCCGCCCCTGTAGACAACGTCTACTCGGGGGGGCTAATCATGCTTCAGGGGAGCCAGATGGCCAGTTTTAATCAGAGTACCCTTCTTGGTCTAAGACCAGCTGCCTGTCAGGACTAATTGCTAATTGCTGCATTGCACAGTCAAACTTGGGTACTGTTGACGATTAGCCTGCTTCAAAGAGCAGCCAGACATCTTAAGGGTGACCACATATTTTTTTTCAGTTAAATAGTAGTCCTAAATATGATTTGTTTAATTAGATTACACTCCATACAGGGATGATTACTTTGCAAAGAAGAATGAGGAGAAGAAACGGAACAGATTGGAAGCGAAAGCGAGGGCCAAACAGTAAGCAAACCTGCAGCTTGAAATTTGCATCTGTTTGTTTGCCATAGTTTACACGTCTGATAATGCTCTCTTTTTGTGACAGGGAAAAGGAAGAGAAACAGAAGCTAGCTGAGGATGCTGAAATGGTATCTGCTCCTTAATTTCTTTGACAGTGTTGTTATCTGCTGTGGTAACATTTCTGTTTGCCCCATGCCTCTGTATAATTAGAAGGACCACACTGGCCAAATAAAGACTTGGAAGGTCGTTAGCTTTTTCTAGCGTGACTCTGCTCTCCTCTGCCTAAGAACAACAAGACAAATGGGAACGTTTCAGCTCTGAAGATCCCCAGATCACTACTCTTTCCGCTGAGTCAGCCCAAGTATCTACATGCAAAGCTTACAGACACTGGAGGTAGCCCAATAGACAGGGCCAAAGGCAACATGTTTGCTTGTTGTGCTTTTAGCAGTTTTGAGCATGCTTAATTTAGAATAATGACACCATGTTCCTGAAACATTATTGCCAAGGAGCCAAAAATATTTGTCTGTGTTGATGTATAATGAAGTCCTTTGAACGGTTAGGGCACTACATCCTGATCTAGAGCCCTCAGATGTCGCTGCATACAAAGATGTCTCACAGCCTCCATTTAAGGTGATGTGACTGGAGGGTATGGACAAGAGACTTGTAGTGATGTTGCCGTGTGTGGACACATTCCAGTGTGAGGCCAGGTTTGGTTTGAGGTGGGTTTGGCTGCTTTTTTTTATGATCGATAACCACATACCTTGATCACTATGACTGAGACACGGTACTGCTCTGTTTTTAAAAATTCACTACATTATATGGTGTTGTGATTTTAATTAACATCATGTTTTGGAATTTTCTGTGAAAACAAACCAGTGGAACATAAAGGCTTAAAATAAAAATGCACGCATCTGACATAAAGTTACAAGACTTCCAGGGTGAAACGTGCTATTTAAAAGTGGAGTGGTATTACAGTCACACCACTGTGCAAGGGAGTTGTAAACCATTGCTATACAGTGGACCCTTGACTTACAGACGGCTTGACTTACAGACTTTTTGAGTTACAGACTTCTCTGGCTGCAAAATTTAGGTTTGACTTGCAGACTGAGATTTGACTTACAGACCAGAAAAAAACCAAAATGGAACAAAAACGGCCTGTTACGGGATTAATCGGTTTTCAATGCACTGGAGGTCAATGGAGACTTGACTTACAGACTTTTTGACTTGAGAACCGCCTTCCAATACGGATTAAGTTCTCAAGTCAAGACCCCACTGTATATCGTAGGAAGGATAAGTATATAAATAAGGATAGAAAAGATAGCCAGAGCAAGGAACAAAGAATGCTAGGAGGACACGTTTCGAGAGGAGAAAGCTCTACTGGAGAGGGTGGGGGGACTTTTTTTACTCTATGGTGATGTAATATTATAATTGCTTGCTTACACTCTAGTCCAGATCTGGGCAAAGTGCGGCCTCCAGATGTTGCTGAACTGCAAATCCCAACATTCCTTACCGTGTGGGCTGGGCCTAACTCTCCTCACTACTGGCTGCATGGGCTAGGAATTATGGAAGTTACAGTTCAACAACATCTGGAGGGCTACATTTTGCCTACCCCTGCTCTAGTCTATTAACTACATAATCAGTTAAGATATTTTTATAGATTTTACTTAATTGAGACCGATGATGATGATGATTAATCATACTCATTTTTGTGAGGGCATTTTAAAGTTTTGTTAGTTACCTATACAGTATTACTTATATTTACCATTAAGTTTTTTGGATATTCAGTACAGAATTCAATAGATAAAAAAAATTATCTGCTTGCATGGGTCGGTCTGTTGAATAAAAAGAAAAAAGCAGAGATTTTCTTGGACATTCAATTTGCATGTCTTGTTTGAAGCAAAGAAATTAAAGGATATTCAGAAGAAGGGAGAATTGTAGAAGGTACAAATATTCCCCTGGGTCATACTGGGATTAATGCCAGCTGTGATTTTCCCCCAGAGGTCGAAAAAGTTCTGTTGGGCTCTTAGGGAGATGTTCAAGTTCCAGCATCCCTGATCTGATGGTAATAATAAAGTTAAAGCTTAGAAAATTTCTTTTAAGAAGTAATTAGTTACTGTTACAAGTCCTGGATTTAGACCATCAGGTAGTTAGCTATTGCGACAGATTAATTTTTAGAAATAGCTCTTTCCAGTTTCTTGAAAGTAACTAAAATAGTTTTCAGTTACTTATAAAATGCCATCTGAATACAGGAAGATGCTGGCCTGTGGTACAGAATAGGGTGCTCTCCCATTTACCTCTCTGTCACCTCAATACTTAGCAGCAGGAAGGCACGGCACAAGGCAGCAGTGTACTGATGTGGATACTTCTATGTGTTACCGCTATAAAAGTAATGGCCCATATTACAGTTACATTGTAAAAGGAATTAAGTTATATTGTTAAGTTACAATAATGTGAGACAATGGCTGATGGTTGGATTCCAAAAATCTCCTGTATGGAGAATTCCTGCTAGGAAATCGCCCCAGAGGGAGACCACAGCTGCAGTACAAGGTTTTCTGCAAGCGAGATCTGAAGGCCTTAGGAGTGGACCTCAACAGATGGGAAACCTTGACATCTGAGTGTTCAGCCTGGAGGCAGGCGGTGCATCATGGCCTCTCCCATTTTGAAGAGACACTGGTTCAGCAGGCTGAGGCAAAGAGGCAGCCCCCAAACCAGCAAAATCAGGGAGCTGGACAAGGGACAGACTGGATTTGTCTTCAGTGTGGAAGGGATTGTCACTCTCGAATTGGCCTTCTCAGCCACACTAGACGCTGTTCCAAGACCCCTATATTTGGAGCATGTTACTATAGTCTCTTGAAACTGAAGGATGTCTACAAGTTAATAATAATGTAGCATCATTATGGGAAAAATGAATGTATTAAAAATAATTAGTAAATTACAACTATTTACTTCCAGACTTGGTGGATGGGGATGCAGTAGTGAGTGGAGGAGCATAATCCCTTGAAGGAAAAGAAGAGAGTTACACTCATGGATCCTGCCCCTCCCCTGGTCTGGGAGGCAGGGGGAAGAAGAGTTCACAAAACGGAAGACCGCCGTATGCCCATTCTCCACAATGTAGAACTTGGGGTTTCACATCAGGGGTGTAGGCTGTGCATCTAGATGGGGCTTTTGTCTTCAAAACTTTTCCCCATCAAGAGGACAGCAGCTGCAAATCTAGCCCTGATTTCTTCCCCTCTTCTTGCACGGAGGGGAAGGCCTTAAGAGGTTGCCTGTGAGGAGAAACAGATTGGATGACAAAGCCTTCTCAACTCACAATTAGCTCAGACCTTTTCCCAAAGCTTGCCCCTACTTCTCACAGTCAATAGCACGGAAGAGCTTCAAGAGTATCCTCCTTCCGGAAGCCTTGATAACCATCCAGCACGTCACTGTTTTCCTGTCTTAATAGAAGCTTTCCTCTCTCTCTCTCTCTCTCTCTCTCTCTCTCTCTCTCTTTATATAAATGAAAAAAATCTCTGGAGGAGAAACAGGGATGGGTGCTGAAATTCTCTGGAGACCTGGAAGATCAGACCTGTCGAGAAGACCTCCATGCTATTTTTTCCAATCATGGTGAAATTAAATGGATAGACTTTGTCCGAGGTGCAAAAGAGGTCAGATTGTTTTCCTACAGTTTTGGTAACTGGCAAAATGTTGATGAATTCAGGCAAGGAACTACTTTATATTGTGGCTGTCTTTTAAAATTAGCATTTTTAATTCAACATACTTGCAGAAAATCACAGTGAAAGCTGAGCAACCCATTGTGGATCTTTTAAATCTTATCCCCCCACCCCCAGCCAAGTGACTTTTATAATATAAATGCCGTTCTGTTATGCTAGAGTAAGCCGTTAAGATTGTTTTGCTTCACCCTTCTAGTCTGTATAAGAAATAAATTGATGAACTAATCAGTGAAATGTTAAGTATTTCTAAAACCGGGGATGGAAGCATGTAGTCCTCCAGAACTGTAGGACTATAGCTCACCTCACCTATTACTGGTTAATGCAGGTAGATGTTGTAGCCTAACAATGTCTGGAGAATTACTTGTTTCAAATCTGCCTTAAAATGGGTGGGAAATTTCCAGATGCATCCACCCATCCCTAGAGGCTGGAGAGCTATTCCCTTGACATCCACCTCAAATTTATCAAAAGGTGTTTTTTTTAATACTAAAAAAGTCTTGAATCCTCCATTGACATTCCCCCCCCCCTTCGAATCTGGGGAAGCCAAGAGTGCTGGTGAGCCCTTGGCAAAAATTGATCATTGTCTCTTAGACAGCACAAGGGGGCTTTAGTGGAAGGGGAAAAAACTAAGATTTTAAAAACAATTGCAGTGATGGTGGTAGGTGACTTTGGCTTGCCCTCGCCTGTCTTATAACTACAGCTTGCCCACATGACCAGTATTTCACACAAAACTTAAGTAGCATATAATTCTTCCATAGGTGGCATTGCCTTTTAGCCACCTAGCTTGTGGATGGCTGTTTTCTTATGGGACATCTGCTACTTGTTGACTCCTCTTGCTAGCTTGTTGAAGCCAAGTACCTATTGTCAAGGGAATGGAGAATGTTATCCAGGGCTGAATTATTTGTAATAAGGAATAGGCCTTGAGTGGAAAGCAAAGCAAAGCCTTGCTTGTGGACTGCCTTAAGAAGGACATGATCTCAAGTGAATGCTAGAATAAGGAATAAGCCGAAGTAGGACAGGAGGAAAGTTTATAGAGTCATCTGGATTATGTTATTGGCTTTAGAAACTCAGTGGTAAACCATTCTACCTTACGTACCTTGAAAGCACTATTAGGTTTGCTGTAAGTCAGATGTGAACTGATTAACCCATTGCAACTAATGTTGTCTTAAGTGCCACATCAAATGTGACTTACTGGCAAGTTTTAGTACTTTTTTTCTTGTTCAGATGGCAGATTATTTTGTAAACATTTTGTTGATTGAGTTGGAGGGCAGTATGTAATGTACAAGAAGCTGCTGGCAAGCGGAAGTGATCCAGGGGACTCTTGCATTGATTGAAATTTTATTTCTGTGTAAAGGGAATTATCCTGTTCAAGAGCAGTGCGAAAGAAGTGCTGGAAAAAGCCAAGGAAGCCAATGATGGGAATCTGCAACTGCGAGACAAAGATGTGACCTGGGAGGTGCTTGAAGGCGATGAAGCAAAAGAGGCATTGAAGAAAATAATGGAGGGGCAGCAAAAATCATTTAACAAAAAGAAAGGAAAAGGTGACTTACTCCTTGGGTTTTAAGCATCAGTTTGAGCTGTTTTGAAAGCCACGTGTTATACTGAGCATGGGCAAAAAAATTGGCCTGCTTTTCCTAATTAGGGCTCTGGTTTGGGCAGTTTCACTTCTGTACACATTTGTGCAAGAATGGCAACCATAATTCCTGCAGGTGACTCTTAATGCCATTTCTGTGCCTCCCCCTCCCCAAGCCACCCATCGAGCCCCTAGTATTTTTATGTGGGGGAAAAAAAAAAGCAGAATTGTACTGCCCGAAGGCACAGTTCTCTAAAAGAGAGGTTTCCCAGCGCTTATGAAATTGCTCCCTGTGTTTTCAGACCTGGGGCACTTATAACTTGTGAAAGCTGACTCTCGGTGATCTGAGGGTGTTACATGTCTTAATCCAACAGGAGGCCGTAAAGGTAAAGGAAAAGGCGGCAAGGGGCCACAAGCTGCGCAGGATAGAAAAGTGAAATTCCAAGGCAAGAAAACAAAATTTGAGAGTGAAGATGAAGAGGAGGGTGAAGACAATGGTACAAAAGGTGAGCCTTTGGAGGGGAACAAGCTTTCTAATGCATGTACTGGTGTTCTGAGAAATTACTGTTAGGACATCTTTTAAATATATTCAGTAGATTTTTCTGGCTTTAAACATTGCTTCCTGAAGCAGACCAAGGGAAGACTAGGGTAAAGAGCAAACCTATACCTGTTAATTCCCCACTTGGGGTGGCCTGAGTACTCTGAAGCATTCATAAAATCTTAGTAATTGCTAAACTTTGCTCTACTGGCAACAGCTTGAACCATTCTGATTTTTACAATGTGTTCAGGGGAGAAACTAAGAAAGGAGACTGTGTTAAGACCTTCCTGACCTCTTCTGTCTTGAAGAAAGTGATGGTCTATTATGGACAGGAAAGGAAATATTTAGTAGTCAGTAGACAAAGTTGTCATGCTGTATGAAACAGCAGAAGACCTTAGATGCTAGAGTCAGGAGCATATCAAGCTGTCTTCTGCACTCAGATTGGATTTTTCAGAAAGTGTCCATTTATTCAGTTTTCCAGTTGCCATCCCAGTAGCAGGATTTTAAAGAAACAGTAAAATCTGGTATAGCTCATTCAGTCCACATAGGCCTACAGCAGAACTTTCCCTTAAAACTTGTATTTTCTTTAAATCAGGGGGCTCTACCTAGCTGGAGATCAAAGTGCAAAGTGTGCTTTTCTGATCATTATATACATAAAGTAATGGTACCCCTAAACAACTGTCCTGCCCCAAAATGTAACATAAGCCTTTGATCCTGTTCTGAGGAACTGAGTAATGTGCAGACTGTGACAAAAACCTCAGCTCTATTTCTTTGTTGCCACTGGCATATATCCGATACCATCGTATTGAATGATATCTCAAATCTTGCAGGGCCAGCAAGTCCTAAGAAAAGGCCACTGGAAGATGCAAAGCAAGAAGAGCCTGCCCCCAAACAGCTGAAAACGGAGAATGGAGATGGAGACAAGGAGTAGGACCACTACTACAAGAATTTTAAAGCATTTTTTATTCTTTCAAAGACGTTTTAAATCATTCCTCCATCCATCTTTTTTCCACAAGAGAATCTGATAAAATCAACTTCGATGTCTACCTGCAAAATGCAAAGAAGAACATTTCTGAGATTATTTCCTTGGGATGCTTGCCTATTTGAACATTCATTTTTTTGAGAATTAGTTTTATAGCTGGGCTAAAAGGAAAGGCTCAGCAAACTGAACCACTCTTAACTCAGCAGTCTGCAAACAGTGTATGAAATAGTGCATATACCAAATAAGCTCCAGCCTCTTGGGTGGTAGAACTCAATGAACGATTGTGTTAAGCTACAAAAGGGGAGCAGTGAATCTCTCCTGTTGTATCACCACCGTGAGTTTTATGGATGAACAATGGGCTAGGCAGGAAGTAAAGCAGTTGTGTACAGTTATCTTGTTCACAGTTCGGTTTTGAACTGCAATGATGTCTTCATGTGTTTTCTTTGTACGATAATAACAAAAGGCGTCTCACTCTGTTTATGGAGAAACAACATGCGGCTTTTCTTCTGTTAGTAAATAGAGGCATAATACTCTGCTTCTCCGGAAATGTTGAAGTTACTCAGCCTTAGCTTTCTTAGGATGAAAATTCATGCATACATGCTCTTGATACAGTAAACTCCAAAACAGTGGAGTTGTCGTAATAGCACTCTTCTGAAAATGCTAGATTTGATACCCAAAATAAATTGCTTATTTACAACTCTGCTATGTGTGTTGATAGCAGCAAACTTAAAAGGTGTGTGTGTGCAAAACTATCTCCCTAGAACTGGGAAGGTTGTATCACCATTCTGCCAGTACCTGTAGGCCCCTGCCTTCAAATATTGCTCACTGCCTGTCATATCCCACCCTCCAAAGAAGCACCACGGGAATCTTTGTTGTTCACGCTACTTGTATGTGAGCCAACAGAGTACAGTTGACCTGAGCTCACACTTTCAAGGTCATGAATTGGCAGGGAATCTCATGCCTAGTTCTCCACTACTTATTAATTGCTCTGGGGTGTGTCTTGCACAAACAGAGGAAATACTACTGAAATCCTTAAACCCTATCTACTGCAGTATCAACCACCCGCCACTGGCTTACGAGTTTGTTTGCACCACTGCCATTCATTTCAGGAATTGTGTGCTTAGAAGGGCAGGAGAAAAACACGTGCATATGGTAACATTGCTTCCTGAGGTTGAAAAAGATAAACTATCCCCCTTCAACATAATTTCAAGTTTCTGCTCACTTAGAAAGTTAAAAAAAAAGCTTGAGAATAGCAGAACCCCTAGTTCTCTTCCCAGCATCATTTAATATTTCCTGCATGATACAGAACAGGTACATATCTGATTAAAATTCATATTAACAGGCATGTTGTTCAGCTTTTTAAGATGCAAATTCATGTTTTTGTTTTGGATGAGAGGTAGATCAATACTTACTGATTTCTTTTTGTGAAATTTATATGATGCTGGTAGGTCGTATCTCAGTTCTAGGAAGAAACCAAGAAAAGGTTAAGATATAATTCACATTCATGGTATCAAGTCTTCTGTTATTAGGGTAAGTGCCAGATGCATTAGGATTGTAAGAAATAAACAAGTTAGCTAGAAAAATGGAAGATCAGAAGACAAGTTTGCACAGTTTCAATACCTTTTAAGAGATGAGGACAATTATATTAGGCTATAAGGGATTGAAGACATAGGCTGAAATCCAATCGCTAGTCTCAACTAGGGGAAACCCAATGACTCAGTTCCTCAATGCTAAGTCAACCCTAATGTCAGCCCCACTGCCTTGGCAACTTTTATAAACCTTATGTGAACACCAATAGGATTCTGGCCAGCATTTGTCTGTTTTTCTGGGATAAGCAGCAACCTACATTGTTTTATTGTACTGAAGGAATTCAACACCCATTTATAAACGTATTAGGATTTATCACTGCTAAGTAATCAAGCTAACATCTACACAGCTTTCACAAAATGACTTTCAAAACAGTTTCACGTTGATAGTTTAAAAATCAACAACCTAAAAAGAATCTGAGTATTAAACAGTTTATATTTTCAGAGTAAAAACACCAACAGATGTTCTGTTTAGTTTTAATGAGTGCAATTCATTATATCACAGCATCTTATGATTTTCATGCAGCTCATCCATCTAGTCACTTTGCAAAGTTAGTAGTTTTATCGTGGGAACACTATTGTGTGCCTTCAAGTTGGCCCAAATATTAACGGCTAGTTCTTACCTGCTAAGACTTCCATCTTCACTTTCCACTCATCTGCTTTCTTCTGAATATGCTAAGCAGAGAAAAGTAGTATTTAGCAGGCATTGTGAATACTGTAGATGCGTAACTAACCTCTTTTGAACTGAAGCAATAGTTGATGCTACCCAACTCCTACATTTAAAATATGTCCATTTTCATCATATTCCAAAGGCTGTAGCCCTGAACTTTTAGCCAACTCCAGCATGACTGAACGTGATCTTATATCTCAGTTACGATATTCAGACTGCCAGAGCAGGGCTCATGTATTCTGAGCACTCTTGCTCCCTAGGGTGAATGTGCAAAGCACAAGCGTATTAAGTGACGCACTTGCCGGGTTGATGTTTTGTGTAAGGAATACACAGCTGTTCTTGCCATTTGCAGTGCTGTCTTGAGAAAAGTCATATCCGTGCCTATGAAAATAAAGATTTGTTATAATTCTATGCCTCTTTCACTTATTCAGTAAACTTAATTATGACAGCTGTAATTCACATATGGGAAATATCTCTTCATAGTCGCAGGGGGTTTCATCACAATAATGAAACTGGTTTTAAATGTTGTCCTGCTGATGTTCAGAAGAACTTGGCAACCTCTGACAATTACTTAGAAGTAAAGTCTCAGTCTGCTATGGTTTCAACATTTTAAATTCTAATTAAAGAGAATGTATTTGAATTTCCCACTTCTACAGAACACATTTCCAGCAAACAAAGACAGTAATCTGAATTGTGATTTGGTAACTCTTCTTTTCTAATGTAAATTACTTAAACAGTTCAGTTTAGCCACTGTATGATAGCTGACAAGTAGTATTGATCGGGAGTATGTAGGTGATACATTTAAACCTTGGTAAGGGTTTTGATCCTGTTGACTGACTTAATCCTCCACAAATGGGAAATAAAATGTTTTTTCTCACTATTTGATGTGGGTGTAAACTGACTGGAAAAGAGTTCAGTCTTGGAGTGGTCTTGTTGTACACCCACAACAAGTCACACTAATCACCCATCTACAGAAAAAGACAAAAGCCTATCTCACAGCCATAAATACTGCACTCCCAAGCCAACTACACCAGAGCACAGAGTGCTGTCCTCTGAAGATGCCGGCCACAGAGACTGGTGAAACATTAGGAAGAACAACCTTCAGAACACGGCCAAAGAGCCCGAAAAACCCACAACAACCCTTGCCTTAAAATTTATAATGAGCCGGAAAAGACAGTTAGTACTTTCAGAGAGCAGAAATGTAAGTGATATTGGACTTCCTAAACTCTGTTCCCTCACCCCAAAGTTTTATTGCAGTAAGGACAAACAAAAATCAACTAGAGATTGGCACAAACCTCGGTTCATGCCAGTTCATAAGTACAGCACCACATATGCTGTGCATTCTTCCCAGCTGGATTCCCCCACTCACCAGCCGGCACATGCTCCTCTCCTCCTTCTCTTTGGCTATTCAGCCAGTCCCTGGCAGAAGCCTGGGCTTCCCTGCCCCACTTCCTTTGCTGATTACTCACTCAGACAAGGCAGGACAAGCAAGTCTGTGCTCCTGCCAACAAGTGGCTGACCAGACAAAGAGGAGGAGGAGAGGAGTGCGCTCTGGCTGGTGAGTGAAGCTTTGGCCATGGTGGGACAAGAAGGGAACGTGTGGCACTGGCATGAACCTCCAAACCAAGGTTCATTCCCATCTCTAAAGTCAACCATTCCAATAATACATATTTGTCAGGCATTTGTTATTAAGGTAGCTTCAGTTGATGAGCTGATCATTTGCAGCATAATGCAATTAAAAAAAAAACCTACCATAATCTGTGAAAGACATAAGCCATTTTTATCTCCTGGCCTGACCTCTGTGTTTATCTCTGATTTCTCTCTTTGGAAAGTAATAACTCTAGGGCAGTGGTTCCAAACCTTGGATGATAAGATGTTCTTGGACTATGAACCCCAGAAGTCCTCGCCAATACAGATAGTGATGAAGGCTTCTGGGAATTGTAGTCCAAGAATATTTGGGGACCCAAAGTTGGGAACTGCTGATCTAGAGCAACAAAAATGTGTAGCCTAGAAATTAAAAATGATGATAATTGACTATAGAGTTGCCCATCTATAATACAATTACAGCCATGGTGACATACACTATCTTTTACAGTAGAATGGGAATACTGTACTGTAATTTCCATCAGCTCCAACCAGCACAGTCAATGATGAATGAGATCATGGGAGCTACAGTCCACAAATATTTGAAGAGTGAAAAATTGTCCATTTCTGTATTGGAATGAACTTTAACTGTGCCGGTGGTAGGAGCCATAGTTAAGAAATTTGAATAAACAATTGACTAAGTGAATTCAGATGGATTCAAGCTCTTAACAGGATGGATGGAATTAAGAACATTTCAAGGTCCCTTAATATCCCCATAAATTGTCTTAATCATTTGAAATAACAGCGCATCATTTTATGAGAGGCATAACTTTGGGAAGAATTCTGATGTGAAAGGACCACTAACCTTTATTGTGTTTAGTCCCAAAGGGAGGATTCATAATAACTGTATCAAACTTTTGGGGCTTTTTGTCAGGCAGAGAACATATGTCACACTGAACCATGTCAATATTTGTCAGCTCAAATTCTTGGACATTCTTGTTAAATACTTCCAAGGCATCAGCATCTATGTCAAATCCTACACAAAATCTGTATGGGGAAAATATTTAACAAAACAGCCATCACAGTAACATATAACTTTGCACTACTTTTTAAAAACATGCTACTTTTATTGATTTAACACAGTGGTTCTTAACCTTGGGTAACCCAGGTATTCTTGGACTGCAAGTCCCAGAAGCCCCAACCAGCATAGCTGGTGGTGAAGGCTTCTGGGAATTGCAGTCCAAGAACACCTGGATTACACAAGGTTAAGAACCACTGATTTAACATATTTTTTGCCCGCCTTTCTCCTTAAAAAGGATCCAAGGTGGCTTTAGCTTAGTGTACATGAAACAGAAGACATGATACTAGGAGTGATGCAATGTTACATATGTCTTTCAAAGGAAAAGCACTGTATTAAACTGGTTAGGCGATAAAACCAATCTCCAACTATTTTAAGTGACTTTCATCCAGAAAAAGTAGCCATATTACATTAATAACTAATGTGGTTTTAAATAAAAATGCCATGGCACTTGTAGAAACTGATATTCAAGTTCTATCACGCTAACTACGTAACTCAAAGGTGGCCCATATTGCACATATAAACCACAAAGAGAATATGGGTATTAGACACTTACCCTGCTCCCAGCATGGAACTTCCAATGCTCAGCACCCCACAACCACATCCAAGATCTGCAACTATCTTGTTTTCAATATCATCAAAGGTATTGTGAATTGTATAAAGCATACATGCTGTGGATAAATAAAAATGCAGGTGACAGATCAGGGCAAACACAAAATTGTTCTCGAGGTCTGAAATGAAATAAAGGTTATCTGATTCCCCCGCCCCGTTCACTGCCAGTATCCTGAGTACATCCCAAGAAACATGCAGCTCCTATGACATCAATTTCATAGCAGGCAAGGCCACCTATGCTAGTAGGAACGGAGGGCAAATGATCATTTTAAAATCTGGCTCAAGCAAATGAATCAGAATTATGCCAGGAGTGTGAAACCCCTTTATGACTCCAAACAGCTGTATTAGAAAAGCATGTACTGTTTCACTTCCCAGCATTTCTACTAACTTGGATCCCTGGTTTTCAGAGGGAGTTGGGGAAGGGAAACTGATGGAACATTATTAGCCAATCTTCATTCAATATTCTTTATCAATGGTAAACTTGTTTCTGGGAAATCACTTAAGTTCTTGACTTCCATGGCTGTTACTAGAAAACTTCCTGATCTTCAACCTACAGCTTTTAAATACTTAAAAGTGACAATATCACAAACTACATTAATAATGTGGCTATGTTTATTATATAGCTTCAGTATCAGTATATTATATACATCAACAACTATAATCTTTTAAAATGAGAAGAACTTCTCCAAGTGGCTTGTGAGAGCTTGCAGGACAGACGCACATTGTGTATCGCTTGAAAAGAATGCAGTAGTAAGATTTACCTGCAATATGTGGCCTCGTTGGATATTGTTCCAGCAGCAGTTTTGGATTCTCGAAGTCATCAGCTTGCTGAAGACAACTTTCAAGTTCTTTAAGCTTCAACTTTTTCATGCTTATCATTTAAGTTTGAAGATAGAGGTTCGTCATAAGCTATACAAAGAAATTAAACATGAGCACACTTTTTACATTTGTACTTTAGATCTCAAAGGCACAACAGTGACGTCTTGTTTGCCTTTGTTCACCACCGGCTGGGGGCGAGTTCAGAATTACCATTCAGGTAGTTTACCAAATCTGAATGAACACCCTGCAGATTAAGCCTTTCCTGCCAAGCAATCGTGTTGTGTATGGGGCTCTTCTTCATTTGGGGGGAGAGTCAGGAAAAGGGTGGAGGGGGAATAAAAGGGGGAGGGCATGATCTTGCTGAGTCCCCAAAGCCAACAGTCCTATAGGGCATCATTAACCCTCTGCAGCCTGATCTATTTCGCCTGTAGCCTGCCCTTGCTCCCCAGTTAAACGTGTGTCTCAATGCGTCCCTAAAAACGTTATTCTTACAATACTTTATTCCCATACCCACCAAGGTGCCAATAAAATCTGCAAATTGAAAGCATGCTCAAAGCCATGCCTCCAAGGGATTTCTACAGACCTAAAAAGCCATCTTACACCCGTATCACTTTTTCCGAGCACCTCCTCCCCTCCACCCCCCAAAACACACACTTCCGCTTTGTGCAGGCCTTAAAGGGTCCCTGGCGCACAAAGAGAAACACAGACTCCCGCAGCAGAGTTCCGCCCTCTCTCCTTTGGCCCCCTCTGCTGGCAGCGGGAAGCTGAGGAAGCCATGGTTCCCTATCAATTGCCGGCAGTTCGGAGGAAGGCCTGGACGGGGAAAAGCCGCCAAAGGGATTGGAAACCGCAAATCCTCTTTATCTCGTTTGCAGGTTGAATTGTTCTGTAACAATACGTCATCTGCAACATTTATGGTAAACCTATCAAGCAAAATCCAAAGAAACAAAACCAAAAAGACAAACACATGTGGCCCCTTAAAATGTGCTCTATTTTAATGTGAGCTTTCATGGACATGTCCACTTCGTCAGACACATGGAAACAGAAGGAAATGTTAAATATCAGTTACAAACTACGTAAATATTCATTGGCTCTTGGATGTACAGGCCATTTACATGCAGTAATTTTACTTATGTTGTTGTAGGCCTCAGAAATTTTTTCATAAAGGCAGCCCTGTTAGCCCGTTTCATTATGCATAACAACACCAACAGAAAATCAGCACAAAACACAGCAGCAAAAGCATTGTGGCATTTTTAGCTAAACAGTTACAAAGGAAGTAAATAAGTACAATTGATCAGAAGTTGCATTTACTTTTACATAAAGATGAACTGGGTGGCGTACGCTTTCAATTTGGACTGCTGCCACCCAATTCTAATATGGTTTCATGCACCTAAAGTTATTTATTAATTAATAGCATTTATATCCCCCTTTGTTCCCATGAGTTCCAGGTGGCATGGACAGCTTTTCTAACTTTGGAACCTCCCTAGCAATGTCAGACTGACAAACGCAATGTCTTGGTTCAATAGGGTTTGAACCTTCATAGCACTGCAGTGTTGACTCACTTAAAAAAACAAATCCAGTTTAAGCAGGTTTTGGCTCCTTTATTTAATGCCTTAGCAAATGTTTATTATTCATAGTTGTCACTTCAGAAAGTCTTTAGGTATCTTGGAGTATTTTATTCACATTCACCAATGTTATGTATTTTGCATTTCCAAGATCTTCACTTGGTATCTTGTCATTATTTTGGTACAGGATTGTTAACTCCATATTCATAGTAGACCTCATGCCATTAAGTAAACATGGTTCTCTGTAAAACTGCTGAAAACAATTTTCTGTCTTCCTGCTGACAGTATGTGTTTATGCTAAGTAGCAAGTGTTCTTTTCTAACACAACTGCACAGTATGTTTATAATGTTACTCAGACACCATTAAACCAGCGCCAGTCCTATTTATCCCTTGTGACCGTCACTGGTTTGTCCACACCCTGAGTGCACTCAAGATCCTTCTCTTTGCCTGCTGGAGTTCTGGACCATGCAGTCGGGAGGTGTCACACCTTGAGCATCTTTCTTCGTTCCCTCCATCAAATTGTCTGGGCATGGTGTTGTGAGTGCAGCCACCTCCAACTTTACGTTTAACTGGGACCAGGAGTCAGAAAGTTCCCACGACCTGCATTGGGGTCGGGGTCGGGTGTTTCACTCCTGGCCACCGCAGGTCCTTGTGCGGAATTTCCCTGTGAAATCACTCCTAACCAGCTGCAAGGAGAAAAGGCGGCGCCTCAATAGAAGTGTGCAGTCGTGTTATGCAGAGAGTCCCAAATTCAGTCCTGCGGGGCAACAACATCCAGACCTCAGGCCAGGGTCATGTTCAACCCTCTGTGTGTGTGTGTATGTGTATTGCACGCCCACATGGGACCACAACCTGTGCACCAACTACCACAGGAGATTTCCAGAGAGGCCGGGAAACGGCGTGCTGTGAATGGGAAGCGTTGGCATCTCTCCGGACAGGGTCCCGGAGGAACGGGAGCCGCGCCGGACGCCGGCTCTCTTGCGCCCATGTTGACCCTCGATAAGCGCGTCTTTCCCCAGAGAGAGAGAGAGAGGGGGGGGGAGGGACAGGGAGAGGAGGACAAAACCGAAATAAGAGGGCGAGGGTGGATGGATGTCAGGGCGGGGAAGAGACAGAGACTGTGTGTGTGTGGTGTGTGTGAGAGAGAGTCAGTTTGCCGGCCCGCTGGGGGGGGTGGGCGCCCAGAAGGTGGACGCCGGCGAGAACTAGGCGGCCTAAGCCGGGCCGGGGCTCCCGGTTATCGCGAGAGGCGCCGCTGGGAGGGGAAAGAGAGGCGAGAGGTAGCCCGGTAGGAAGGCAGGCGAGGCAGGCAGGGAAGCTAGCGAGCGAGGAAGGGAGCGAGGAAGGGGCATCTCTGGTCGCTTTCGCCGCCCGGAGCAGCGGCTAAGAGGGAGC